TTGAGAAATTGTACTTATGTTGCTTTTGCACAAACTAGTGTGAGCGGTTGTTTGGTATGGTTTGGAGACTTGCTTGATATGAAAGAGTCTAGTGAAGGTGGAAAAGAATTGTATATTCGGATGGCCGCTTCTGATCTCGATAAGTGTTTTCTATGTTAATCATCACTTTCTTATTTTACTATTTTGATTTCAACACTGCTACACACTGAGATGTTTTATTTATAATTTCATTTAAAAATATCAATTTATGATTCAAAGTCATTTAATAAGTGGAGTCCATACTTGACTATTCAATATTCACCATACAATTTAGTTTTGGATTCAAATTTATAAACCTATAATCTTGGTCAATAGAATTACTCTTTGCACAACTAGTTTACTCATACCCCAGGTTGTCTCTAGTCCAGTGAATGGATTGGATCATACTGTTTAGATTTGTGGTGCTATCACAGATTATATTTTAATAATTTGAATCGTTTATTTTTTAGATCTTAATGTGTGGATTATTCATAAAAGAAAATTTTAAATCAATCCGACAATTTATGATATTTTATAAAGTTTGTATGAAAAAAAAAAAAAATCGGCGACAAACATTTTTTAGAAATTAAATTATTTATTTTTTTTAAAGATAAATGTGAAAACATTATTTAGTTACGAGTATTGGATTGACATGATTTTATTATGAATGATTTATACGTTGTGACTTAAAAAATAAATAATTCAAGTCATTCGGATAGGACATGTGATAGACTCCACAAGTCCAAATAACACGATCTAGTCATTCACTGCACTGGCGAGAAGTTGGTTCCAAATTTATAACATGCTTTGTCAATAAATTTTTCTCCCAATGGCCGATGTTTTTTGTTTTTTAGTAGGAGCTAAGAAGGATCGAATACAAAGGACAAATGAACAGCAATGATTGCATCAGTAGTGGTCATTTTAGGAGTTCTTATCATGGCTTTAATCGGTTGGTATTTTTTGAGGTAACTTCACATGAGAAATTTATTTTTTTTAAAGATAAATGTGAAAACATTATTTAGTTACGAGTATTGGATTGGCATGATTTTATTATGAATGATTTACACGTTCTGACTTAAAAAATAAATAATTCAAGTCAATCGGATAGGACATGTGATAGACTCCACAAGTCCAAATAACACGATCTAGTCCATTCACTGCACTGGCGAGAAGTTGGTTCCAAATTTATAACATGCTTTGTCAATAAATTTTTCTCCCAATGGCCGATGTTTTTTGTTTTTTAGTAGGAGCTAAGAAGGATCGAATACAAAGGACAAATGAACAGCAATGATTGCATCAGTAGTGGTCATTTTAGGAGTTCTTATCATGGCTTTAATCGGTTGGTATTTTTTGAGGTAACTTCACATGAGAAAAGGCAAAATACTTTAGAGTTATGCTAGGGATCCCAACTATTCTATCAAACCTCTCACATGGGTGTGGAACCCGCACACACATAGATTTGTGTGAGTCCCACCCCATGTGAGAGGTTTGGTAGAATATTTGAGATACATAACATTTCTCAATACTTTATCCTGGAGTTTATTTAATTAATTATTTTCTATTTTTTGGAAAATTGTTTCATTAGTTAATGCCATACAACTGTTTGACATAATGTTTATTTGACAAAATTGATGTTCCACATAAATTACCATTTTAGATTCACTACAACAAAATGCACATTTGGCGATTAAAAAAAATTTAGTCGCCAAAAGTTGTGGATGTAGCGATCTCGGTTTCAACCCTTTTTTCATGTTTTGCCACTTTGACTGGGCAGGTCGGGGATCAAGCTGCCTGGTCAGCTCGTGGGGGTCAAGGGGGCAGCGCCTCTTGGCGGGTCCAAGGGCAACGCCCTGGCGGGGTCGAGGGGCAGCGCCCCCAAAGTAAAAATGCAAAATGCATTCGAAATTGCTTGAGCTGCACATGCGGAACACAGGGGAGGGCTTGTTTGGCTACTGCAATAAATGCAGGTGCGGGAGTGTAAGTGCGGGAGAAGTGCCGCACGTGCGGTGGTAGGTACGTCTGAAATTTTATTCTTTTCTTCTCTTTAGGCTGAGTGTATCTCACTCTTGTTAGGTCTCTTTCTCTCTACAAACCCTTTCCTCTCCCTTCTCTTTACATTTCCCTACGCCAAATTGAATCAAAACCTTGATTTTTCAAGATCCATTAGAGTTCTGTCATAGTTTCTTTATCAAAGTTTGTTAACTTCTAGAGGGCTTCATTTTGTGCGGTGAAGATCGAGTTTCGACATCGTTGATTTTGGAGGTTTCATCTCAGTTCTTCTTCAAAACTTGAGATAGAAATTTTCTTAGAGTTATATATATATATATATATGCAAGATCTAGATGATTTTCGAAATCATCCTTCGATAGCTTTGAAAATTGATTATTGATTCAAGAAGTTGAGCGATTTTGAAAGTGAGTTTGTCTCTTGTTCTTTTAAAATGATCTTATGGATTTTGATCTTTGTTGATTGAAGAAAAGATGATTTTAGAAAGTTTTCTTTCAAAAGATTTGAGTTGTACAGTTTTGGTGAGAAAACCTAAAAATTGGAGATTTTTAAAAGAGATTGAAAATCCATGAATGATATTGTTATATTTATTTTGTGTGTCAAAATAAATGGATGTTTGAAAAAAATTTTATTCATATTTATATAAATGATGAATTTCAGAGAATGTAAGAATTGTTGTTCATTTTAGAAATTATTGTTCAAAATGTTGAAATAATCTTGAAATGACTAATTGTTGATGATACTTGAGAAGAGGAAATTGTGTTATTCCTTGGATGATGAATTGGAATAAAAGTATTTATATTCATCTTATGTTATTAGCATATCAATTCATTTGATTACATTAAACTTTGAAAGTTGATTTGAAAACTTGCATTGAGAAAAGAATGTTGAGAAACAAGTTTTCATGAATTGGTTTTGGGGTAAATACGGTGGTAAGTCTTGACAGGTGGTGTAGATGAAATTGAATAGGTGTCAAGCCTTCCAGTTAATACTGGTAAAAATGACAGATTATAGGTGTCGAGCCTTCCCGTCAATGCCGGTAAAAATGACAAATTGGTAGTACTTGTATGGTCTACTTGCAGACACCAGCCTAGGAATTACCAAAGTCGTATTTACCGCTCTTGAAATGAATTGTTAAGTTTTGAAGAATTGAAATTGCATGGCATCATTGAGCATGATGATGGTTTTCAAATATGAATATGTGATTTTCTTTTAAAAGGGCATAACATAGCATGTGTATTTCATCTCTTGAGATTTGTATAAAATGTATATACTTTGTTAAGGATTTTCTACTGGGCTTTATGCTCACCCTACGAGATTTTTGTGCAGAAAAAGATGTGGTGATGCTGCCTAACTAGAGGCGAGGAAATGTGTGTTGAGAGTACGAGACTCTCATTTTGCTGTGACTTTGTGTGTAAGCCAAATGCTGTATGTGTGTGGGTTTGAATAACCATTTTGTGTAACCAAGCTCAAGCCTTGGAAACTTGTAAACCCCTTGGGGGTATTTATTTGTTTATTTACTTCTTGTTGGATTAATGTATTGTTGAATGAAGAACTATTGTATCATGTAATGTAAGTTTGGAGATTTATATTCAGTTTTCCTTGAAAGAGTCATAATTGTTGTATTATCATTTAGGTTAGAAATTTGGGGCGTTACATTAGAATTGGCGACTAATAATTTTTTTAGTCGGAAAAAGTAAAATATTTAGCTACTAATTTTTTTTAGTCGGCATATATTGATTATTGGCGACTAAAAAAAATTTAGTCGCTAAAAATGGCAAAATTGGCGACAAAAAAAAAATTTTAGTCGCCGTATATTGAGTTTTGGTTACTAAAACTAGTCGCTGAGTGGAGAATAAAAAATTATTTTTTTATTTTTGGTCGCGGTCGCCAAAAAATTACTTTCCACGACCAAAAAATATTTTAGTCGTCGTATTTTGAGTTTTGGCTACTAAAACCATTTGGTCGCCAAATGAAAAATAAAAAATATTTTTTATCTTTGGCGACCAAAAGTTTGGTCACTAAAAACTTATTTCCAGTAACAAAAAAAAACTTTAGTTACCGTATATTGAGTTTTGGCAGCCAAAATTAATTCGTCGTCAAATAAAAAATGAAAAATTATTATTTATTTTGACGATACTAGTTGTTGTCAAAGAAAAGAGACAGTATATTACTACTATCTGTCAAATAGCATATAATCACTATTTGTTTTTCCAACCAGAATATTATTTTGTAAATTCACAGAAAATAATTTTTTTCTGAAATTATTTACGAAGAATGAAAAAGGAAAACAAACGAAATATTTATTTTCAGATTAATTGGAATCTGTCTTAAGATTGTTGGAACAATCTTCTGTGTAAAATAAAATAACTTGAAAATAAATTCAAACAAAATAAATAAATAACATACCGGAGTTTTGGCTACTAAAACCATTTAGTCGCCAAATGAAAAATAAAAAATATTTTTTATCTTTGGCGACCAAAAGTTTGGTCACTAAAAACTTATTTCCAGTAACAAAAAAAAACTTTAGTTACCGTATATTGAGTTTTGGCAGCCAAAATTAATTCGTCGTCAAATAAAAAATGAAAAATTATTATTTATTTTGACGATCAAAAGTTTGATCGTCAAAAATTTATTTTCAGCGACTAAAAATTAAAATATTTGGAGCCAAACATTTCAAATTTTTAGGAGATTTCTAAAATAATATGAAGAATAAAGGACGCAAGAGAGCAAAATGAAGGCAAGGAAAATAAATTTTCGGAATCCTCAAAATTGGAATGGGGCTGCCTTTATATAGGCTTTGTTGGCACCTATTCAAATTGAATAAAAAAGGTATGAATAAGGGACATACCCCTTCCTTTAAAATAAACAGACATCATGAAAGGTTTGTACCCTTTCATTCAAAATAGAGACCCTTCTTTTAAAACAAAAAAACACCATGAAAGATTACACCATTTCATTCAAAATAGAGTCTATTTCAATTCACAACTACCTCTTTATAAATTTATAAATTTTCCAACATTTCAAGCTCTCTCTCTCTCTGTAGTTCGCATATGGACCCAAAATCTAGGTTGGTGATTAGGTCTTCTTCTACACCATTTTTCTGGGTACTGATCGATAGAACCACCACTGTTTTTCTTCATTAAAATTGTTTCCTGTATATAATGCAGAAGATGAGTGTAGATCTGGTCGCCTCGAATACCCATGGGAATCTCGATGAGCAGATTGCACAGCTCATGCAGTGCAAACCCTTGTCCGAGCCTGAGGTGCCTCTCTCTCTCTCTCTCTTTCATCTTTTGCCTCTATTCTTGGTCTCATTTGCAATTTGTTTTGAATTCTCAATTTTTGTTTGGTAAGGGTACTTGCATTTGAGGCTCTTCAATTGGGTTATTTTTGTTTTTTAACTTTTTTGGTCGGATCTGGGTTGATTTTGTTTAGGTGTTTGTGTTCTCAATAGAAATGCTTTATATACACATAATAAATATGATAGATATGCATCTGTAGACATGTGTATATCAGGGGAATCTTGGATGATTTTGATGTGTGGTCTGCAGTTTGTAGCTGAGATCGTGTTTTAGGGCACGATGATGGATTTTCTTTTAGTCGAAAAGGAGGAAATCATCATCGTAGTCATGATTATGTAGTGTTTTGATCAATATTCAAATGAGTAGGTTATGGTATTAATAACAATTCAAAGGATGTAGGATGGCAATTTATTCTGATCATCACTACCCTACCCTGCCACACCCCTTTATGCATACACAGTTACATTTCTAGACAAATGATAAGTTATCCCTCTTGCACTAGAAAATGTGATTGACGCAAGCTTGATAAAAGAATTTCTGATCTTGGAGCAACAACAATAATTTCACTGAAAAAAGGCTAACATATATACACAACTCACAAAAAAGCCAAAATGATTGAAAGGTGTTGTAAAGAAATACAGTGCGGAAGTAGGGGCTTCCCAATTTGCACAAACTGCATTTAGTTCTCCTCTCTGCCTCAACCTTTCTTGTTTCTAGAAATAGGTTAAGTATTCAATCTAGAATCCATTGACTTAACTTTATACAATATGAACTCTCAATAATAAGTGAATCAATGCTATGTCAGTTAGCCTGATCTATTTTGGGCAAGTCTGGGCTTATAAATTTGTGCATGATCAAGACTAGTAGCAATTCCAATTATGATAAAATTATAAGGATTTAAGAATGTTGGTGTTGATTTAAGAAATGCCTTTGGTGTTGGTACGAGTTTTTGCTAATTGAATAAGGTTAGGGCTTTTAAAGCATTGTGCATGTTCTATTACCTTGTGCAGCAGCTAAGCTTGTATGATTAGTGCTGAGAAATTATGTAAAAATGGGTAGATGCCTTGGAGATGAATTATATTCTACTTCGTATAATAATCACTTCCATGCTTTCAGTTCTGCCTACAACCAATGCTCTGGTAATTGTGTGCTAGACATTTGTTTAATCTTAGCTTGAGAAAAATTTGTAGTTGTTGTCAAGCATGACGGTGAGGTTATTGTAAACAGAACAATGACTCTTTGCATTTGGTGATTGCTTTGCTGATTCTCAGTTGAAGTCCTTTCTTATTCTTAAAAAAAAAGGTTGTGTTTTTGAAGAGCGTTCAGGTCATATGGAAGGGATTATCATTGTTGATATGCATGGGGTTGGAAACATTAATTATCACCGCCGCTTTATTGAATGTATTTACTTTCCGATTATTTAACCTTCCTTTCCCTATGACTTTCACAGTGATACTTTAGACAAATGTTGACTTCTATGATTTTTAATTGTAGGCTTCTCAAGAGTCACAATGGTACCATAAGATCCATATATGCATGTACTTCCTTTTGTTTGCATTATTAATTGGACTGATTGTTTGATCCAGGGCAGTGTTTCAGTTAGATCAAAATTACAAAGTTATTTGCTTTATTTAACTAAACCTTTTGTTTGTATTTTTCTTTCTCAGGGCCTTCAAGTAAGTTAGCACATGCTTGACTTGTTAATTACCCTCGTTCTTGAGAATAAGAAAATATATCCACCCATCATGTTCAGTGTCTCCTCTTTCACTCAGACCTGAAGAAAGGAGATCTTGGGGTTTGATGGTCCTAAAATGACATTCTATCTAAATTCTTATTTCTCATGCTTGATAGTGTTTTGTCTTTTTCTACCAAATATCATTTGATGGTCTTGCATTTTTGATACTAATGGATGCAATTATTTTTTGTAGATGGCTTTTGGCATGAATTTGTGGATATTTTTTCTATACGGAGGATAATTTACACTTTTGTATAATCTAATTTTTTTTTTTTTTTTGTGTACGGAGGACATGTTTTGGTGTGATTTTGTATTTTGTATGAAATTATTATTTTAGGTTGGAATATACTTAGTTTGTATGAAATTTGACATTAAAAGGTATTTCTTTTTGGATAGCTGGAAGTGAAATGGATGCAAATTGCAGAATGGTTGATGATATATGTATTGTTTTATTTATATACATGGTACAGGTTGCATAGAATGCCTACAGGTTGTGGACAAAATAATTAAAAATAAATAAAATCATGATTTTGGCGACTAAACAATTGGTAGCCTAAAATGAAGTAAATATTTTTAGCAACTAAATAGTTAGTAGCTATAAATAAAAATAAAATGACAAAAAAAAATTGGCTACTAAAACTTTAGTAGTCAAAAATAAAATCAGACTTTAGGCGAGTAAAATATTTAGTAGCTTAAAAAAAAAAGATGAACAGTGAAAATTTTTTGGCGACAAACTTTTTTAGTCGCTGAAAAGGCGATATTAATTTTTTCAAAAAGGTTTTGGTGACTAAAAAATTAGTCGGCAATTGATGACTTTCAGCGACTAAATTCATTGTAGTCGCCAAAATCTTTCTCGACAATTGTTCAATGACTAATTTAGCAACCAAAAAATTTAGTCGCTAAAAAGTTTTGGCGCCTTAAAATTTAGTCACCAAAAGTGCATTTTGTTGTATACAATTTATATTTGAATCATATATTTGGAAAGTAAAAGAAAAAATATGAATGAAATGTAAATTAAATATAATTACATTTCACTTATTTTTTCCTTTTCTCTTTTTAAATTTTTACCCAAATTCATGATCTAAATACAACTTTTCATCTAAAAAAAAAAAAAAAACCCTTAAAACATCTCCAATGTGCTCTTTAAGAGACTTTTTGGCTACTATAACTGATCTCATTCTATTTTACTCATTCCAATAGACTAGCTAGAGCTATTCTAACTTAAAAATTTCTGAGCTAATTACATCTTTTGTTTTGATTAATGAGAGTCGGTAATTAGTTGTTAGATTAGCATCTTGAGGGAATTGAAGCTCACACTCATGCACCTTGTAAGAAAATATTGTGTTTGGTTTGAGTTTTTTGAATTAAATTTTTTAAAAACTGAGTTTTTTGTTTTTCGTATTTTTTTTAGTGAATATTTTTAAAATTTTAAGCATTTTATTTATTTTTTTAAATGCACCTTACGTAGATGTATTTAAAAAGTAAAAACTTAGAGAAAAAATATTTTTAAAAATTAATAAATAATAAAAATATGAAAAATATACTAAATTCTCATTTTTTTTTTGTATTTTTTGTAGTGAATTTTTAAAAGATTTTTTTTACAAAAATTATCCTTTTTATGTGTATATATGTTAGATGTGTCTAAAAATTAAAAAAATTGCTTAAAATATTTAAAAAATTCAGTAAAAACAAAAAAATACAAAAAATAAGAAAGTATAATTTTCTAAAAAGTACTTTTAAAAAACCAAAAATAAACAAATTCCACAACCCTCCCCCCTCCCAAAGGAGAGATTTAGTGGTCAAAGGGTTAGCCAACTAGGTTAGAACCCATTGGTTTCTAAACTAATTACAATGGGAGAGTATTATAAGGTTCTTTAAAAAGTTCATGTGAATAAATAAGTAAAATAAATAGTAAAACTAAAGTACATAAATAAAAAAAGAATTAGGTAAAACAAAGAAATATATATATATATATATATATATATTTAATATTTTAGCTAGTAAAAAGTGAAAAAATGAAGAGTATGGCTAGAGCCCAAGATTCATGCACTCCTGCTAAATGCACTTGTTCAAAAGTCTTTGCATGTGCTACTAGTAAAGGTCGTTAATTTTAGAGGATCAAATTTAAGCTAGATTTAAAATAGGACTAAAATGAAACTTAACTCAAACTAAAGAAGTTAAAAGTATAATTAACTGATAAATGTTTATTCTTTATTCTTTTCATCAATTTGGATTTCATCATTTTATGTTTCTATGGATGACAATAGGAGATGATAATTATTGGAATAATGTAATGTAGGATTGGAGAGCTTGGGAGGTATACACTACACTTCGATTCTGTTTACCTCTTATACATTATGTTTTCCATTGTCTACCTTATATCTATTCATACATTGTGCTTTCTGCCTTACATTTTCTATTTGATACTTGTTCACACATTGCTGATGCACACTGCTAATCATTTCTTACAGCTGTGGGTTCATGCCTATTTCCCGACCCTTGCCCCAGAGCCAATGGACGAGATCACTCCAGCTATGCCCTACTCATGGTGATATGATGGTAGATGTCGCTGCCGGCACCGTGAGGATATAACCTTCCATTTCTTCCACTGACACTTTGACATGGTGGTTGCCCATGAGGTAATCCAAAACTCACTGTTATTCCGATTGCTACTATTCTGATTCATATTATGACGACTTGACAGCAACTAACATCTTGTTCATTCTTTATTTGCAGATCACATGGCACGATGCTGGCCAGAGTCAGGGACTAGTATGCTGGAGCTTGGGCTACCTCTAGGTACCGGATATTGCTGGAGGGCCCATTCTACCGAGCCTGGTTTCTGGGTGAGCATTTCATACACAATACTACGAGCTTACCTGCCCCAGTCGTTCCCATGCCATTCCCAGCATCCATAAGGACGGCCAGTAGCCTCCCAACTGAGGATGTTATTCAGTTTATGGTGGGGCTAGATGCCGACTACTTCAGAGGGACGGGAGATTATACAACCTTCATCAGGACTCACCTCGTGCCACCCCTGATGGGAGGTCGCGCGGGCGATGCAGCAGGTGCTCCTTTGGCTGGAGAGGCTGCTCAAGAGGCCGATGCAAGTATTAGAGAGGCCCCTTCCACTGTGCAGGTTACCAGTTGGCCGGCGATCCTTACCGTGCTTACTTGTTGGCGACCGGGTGGAACAGCCTATCAAATTCTGATGGACTTACATGCCCCAGTCATTCCCATGCCATTCCCAGCATCCATGAGGATGGCCAATAGCCTTCCAAATGAGGATATTATTCAATTTATGGTGGGGCAAGATGCTGACTACTTTAGAGGGGCAGGAGATTATACAACCTTCATCAGGACTCACTTCATGCCACCCCTAATGGGAGGTCGCGCGGGCGATGCAGTAGGTGCTCCTTTGGCTGGAGAGGCTGCTTAGGAGGCCGATGCAGGTATTGGAAATGCCCCTCCCACTGTGCAGGCTGCCAGTTGGCCGACGATCCCTACCGTGCTTACTTGTTGGCAACTGGGTGGGACAACCTATCAAATTCTGATAGAGCCACCAGAGCTAGGGCACGGGTATGTCAGAGCTCCAAGCACACCTTAGGTATGGACTACACTTTTCGACTTGCATCTTACATTTTACCATTTCCAAATATTAATGTTCAAATTCACTTGCAGGCGCCCCTGGAGTACACGGAGGGCCTTCTCCAGCTGGTTGCTTCTCTCGTTGGCATGGTATAGAGGAGAGAGACATTGCTTGGTCTCTATGGTATTCAGGTATTCTCCATCTCATTTTTCGCATACATTTCACTGTTGGCTCGCACCGCTGTGCACCCCACTGACATGCAATATTCACTCTGATACACGATACTACATATTGATCTACTAATATTCCTTCTAACATTGCTTCACACGGCACTAATACACTGCATTGCCTTATGCATGATATTCTTACTATATACTACATTCTATCGCATACTGTATCTGATACTTTGATATTTGTTTTTCAGATCCCATCTGCACTGAGGGCACTAGTAACAGCGGTGGCACCTGCTCCGGCGACAGGGAGAAGAGGTAGACAGGTCCCAGCATGCGACCGAGATGAGCGCCGAGGTCGAGACAGAGATAGGGGTGCTCAGAGCCGGAGCAACGAGTCTGAGCCTGTATTGAGCAGGGATGATACTGAGACCAGCAACTCCGATAAGGCAGTGAGCTGATATTCTGAGTCATCTGAGAGCGGGGGCGATGATGCTGGCTCGAGGTTAGAGAGCAGAGACGATGTCGAGATTGGCTTTGAGTTAGGGAGCAGAGATGATGACATTGGATAGTGGTGCTGATGGAGACAATGCCCTTAAGTCCCCTCTGAGGAAGAGAACGAAGAAGGCCTCTTAAGCCTGATGCGACCGGCGCTGATTTTTATACTTTTTTGCTTAGTTTCTTTCATTTTGTAGTCTAGCACATATATAGCTTCAGATAGGTTTTACTTTCACTTTTGAAAACTTATACTCTCTTTTTGTAAAAACTGTGATCGGGGGAAAACTCTACAGTTTTATGAGAAAAATTATTGTTTTTGCATCATGAGCAACACACTTGCAAAATGAAAATGGAGTTGAATTTGAAACCGAAAATGCTTGTATTAGAACGACATTCTTAATCGGATAATGAGCTAACCAACCAAAATACAAAATACAACTCGATAAATGGGAAACAAAATAAAAACACTGTAAATATAGCTAGACACACTTGCTATAAACAAAAGACTCTAAACAAAACCCCAGGACACAGAGACCAGGACAAAACCAAAATGCCCAACTGCTCAGGCCAAAGAGTGGACGGCTGACCACAAAAGTGGGCGGCTAGCCACTTGTGGTGATCCACCAAATGGTTGATAACTGGCCTCCACTCACAACCTTATCTTCTACAAAAGGTCTTCCTTTGTGATTTCTTCACCAAAACCTCATTTTTGTTATTGTTTCTTCCACAAATGGAGATATTTCTTACCGAGAAGCTCACGGATTGGATAGCCACTTTAGATGACACGGAAAAGGTAAATTTCTGAGGTTTCGGCATAAATATGCTTTTTCCGTTAAGCCATACTCCACTTTATTTTCCGTTTCTCCATGCCGTGGCCAGATACTAGGACCCAATTACGCACGTATTTCGTTTCGGAGCACAAGAGATGTGCCCGACTCTTAAAGAATTTCAAGCATTGATGGAATCCCACCGCGATGAGGAAATCATGCTTTAGCCCCGGCTTGGCCATGCCTAGGCTTTGGGACGGATGTGTGGGTTCACTTTGCACGAAGCTCGGTCTTTGGCTCATGACAGGGAGCTAGACATAACCAGCTTGATTCATCGATTTTCTGACATCGAAAACAGGGGCGACCCTTTCTGGCGAGATTTTTGGCAACATGCCCTCTGCTTATAAATGCTCGTACATTTTCTTCTTGCCCCTAGTTGCGGTGGAGCCATCATTCAGTTGATCGAAGTGGACCAATGTCTAAAAGAGGGTAAGAGTTGCATTGGTTTGACACTGGCCGGGACCATGATGGGTATGCTTTTCATTGACGAGAGACCATCAGGATTGCATGGAGTCCACTACTGCTCCAAGTATTATTTCCCACCCTTTTTTCATTTATGATTCTCACATCACTCAGCACTCACGCTCTATTTTCTCTTAAAGCTCTTTTCACTCATTTCTCTAAGAGCACATCTCTCTATTCTTTAATCTTTCTTATTTTTCATCCCTTCCCAGGTATGGTTCATGGACGCTAGTGGTAGACATTTGCCCCGAGTATTCAGCTCGAGCTTACTTTTTCCGCCAGCGACTAGTGGACTTTCCTAATGAAGGATGGTGGTGCAGCTGGATGTGCAGCAGATTTGCAGCTGACATAGTTTGGCATTGCTCGTGGTTTAATTTGACTGAGACGAGCTACAACATGTCTCGACAGCCGGGTATTCAGTTGATTGGCCTCACACACTACGTGTTCTACTTCCCCTTTCGGTTTAGATACCAGTTCGGGCATGATCAAACCTCGTCCAGATAAGGGGGTAGAATACCCAGCTTCCTTCCCCATTCGTGCTTCACACCTGACTCAGTACCTTGCTGCTTAGAGGACGAGAGAGCTTCTGGCCCCTGCCCCTACTGTCAGTTATGCCCTTTTTGGTGAGTACTTGGCTTGGCTCGAGGATGAGGCACAAGTCGGGCTTACTTTAGTTGTACAGACTTCCGCAAGTACAAGCAGAGGACGCAGGAACACCTAACTCGCTTATGACCTTTCTTTTCATGTTTTATGGTGTAAAAGAAACTTTGATTTAACTCAGAGAGCTAAATAATGTACTTGTGTTGAAATCAATGGAATTAAAGTTGTGAAGACTAAAAATTTTCCTTTTGGTCCTAAAATGGTCTAAGTTGTAAAAGGTAAAATTTTGCAAAAAACCAACTTTTACTAAAACTTTCCAAAACTATTTTCGAAAATGATTACCACCTAACACGTATGGAATCAGTTCTCAAGATGTACAACCCCAAATCAAAAGATTACAACTACCCATAATTGTATTCACCACTACTACGTTGCAGTGTAACCGATCTGCAGCATTAAAGTAACACAACTGAGCTAGAAGATAGTGGACAAAGACAGCTTGATCAAACATAATGAATAGGACAGTTGAATTGATGGTTACAGTCGAACTTTAGGATGAAGTTGCCTATGTATCCCAAAGATGGGAATCAGGCCTTATGTAGTTTGGTTTAGGTTCACTCGAGTATTAACTCTCTCCTTTTGCGCTCTAACATTTGCCAAAGTTGCGCTTCTGGGTTTTCGACCTTGCGAGTTCAATTTTTCTTTATTTTTAATTTTCTATGCTCTAACTTTTGCCTAGGTCACCTTTTCGGCTTTTCAACTTAGCGAGCCTCTCAAGGGTAGTATTTCTTCAACTTGTCCATATTAACCAGTTGCGAAAACTCCAGGCCATCTAAGTCCATGAGAATAACTGCCTCTCCTGAATAGATAGCTTTGATGATGTAAGAACCAATCCAATTGGGTCTGAACTTGCCTCTAGGGTCATCGATAGGCGTTCGGTTATCTTTCAGTACCATATCAGTACCATATCTCTCTCTTTGATATTTCTGGACTTAACATTCTTATTAAAAGCCCTAGCAATTTTGCGTTGGTAGCCTTGAACATGATACAATGCCTTTAGCCTCCTCTCATCAAACAGCATCAACTCCTTAAACCTGCTCTGTTGCCATTCTATTTTTGCTATCTGACACTCAGCCATAATTCGCAGTGACGGTACTTCAATTTCAATTGGCAGAATGGCCTCCATCCCATACACTAATGAATAGGGGGTTGCTCCTGTGGACGTCCGAATTGACGTCCTGTAGCCCCAGAGTGCAAACGACAATTTATCCTGCCAGTCACTGTATGTTTCTACCATCTTCCGCAAGATGTTCTTAATATTCATGTTAGCAGCCTCAACAGCTCCATTGGTTTGTGGTCTATATATCGATGACTTGTGAAAAGCCATGTTATATTTATCAAGCAGATCCACCACCTCTTTCTTGAAGTGTGAGCCATTATCTGATATGATTTCATTCAGAACCCCGTACCGACAGATGATATGATTTCTGATGAACTTGGCCACGTGCGACGCCTTCAACACAGCATAGGATTGAGCTTCTACCCACTTTGTAAAATAGCCAATCGCCACCAGGATGAACTCATGTCCATTCGACCCTTTTGGTGAGACTGCACCGATAACATTGATTCCCAAACTAAGAAAGGCTATGGCGAAGCCATGTTGTAAAGCTTTGACGGCGAGATATTCATGCGATTGACATGGATTTGACATTTGTGGCATCGTCGTACAAAACTAATACAATCCTCCTCCATAGTAGACCAGTAGTAACCTTGTGTAGACACCCCATTTTTGACCGCCCGTAAGACTTGGGCATCACTGATTGATCACTCGATGATGAAAGTTGTGCTATGCAAATGTTTGATTTCTTCAACAAGAAAAGCTCTAAATCCCAACTTTAAACCCCATTTTAGACCAAAAATATTTTGAACAAAACTATTTTAGACCTTAAAACCCTCTTTTTCAAAATATTTTTGAAAAAGTTTCTACGATGTTCTGAGGCTCGCATTTCGTTAAAAATTGCACTTTTCAATAAACCGAGTAGGGACAAAGTGGAAATGAATGGAAGAGAGGTGAACTCTTTGAAAATATTTAAGACCTCTTATTTATAGGTTTGGAGTTGAAGAAAATTGAAGGAGAGGAAAGAAAACTAGTTGGGGAAGTGGTTGAGCTTGAAACCGTTAAGGAAAAACTGGGCAGCCTCACTAAATCAAGCCTATCCTTTTGTAAACTTGAACTTTAGTTATAAGGCCACCACCATTGGAAATTGGACTTCCGAGGCTTCATTTTACACTCAAGAATCTCCTAAAGCCGAGTCCGGATGAGGGAGATATGGCTGTTTGAAGTTAGGCATCAATCTGATCAAGCCAAAACTGAGCAACCTTCACTAAAATAAGAATATCTCTTTTCACACATAGAATTTAGATATGAGGCTACCACCATTGGAAATTAGACTTCCGGGGCTTCACTTTAGACTCAATAATTACCTAAAACCGAGTCCAGATAAGAGAGATATGCCCATTTAAAATTAGGCCTGAATGCAGATTTTGAGGGCCGGCTGTGGATTAGTGAGAGCCAGTCGTGGATTAGTGAAGGCTGGCCGAGTCTCGGTGGCACCAAATAGACAGCTGGCGGGAATTGAACAAATATCTTTGTTTGAAGATATTTGGACCTTTTTGGCTCAAACTCTATAAATAGAACCTCTTCCTTCAAAATTCAAGGTTAGAAAAATTTCCAAAAGACATTGAAGAGCAAAAAGGACCTCCTCCCTCTTCCTTCCTCCTTTCACCTTCAAACCTCTTTTAGCTATACATATACAATACATACACCATTGGAGCTTCTACTTGAAGATTTTTGCTAGAGTTTCAAACTAAGTTTCATAAACTTGAGGGTGTTTGGAATCAAGTTTGATCAATAACCAAAGCTTGCTCTCTTCAAGAGGTATAAGCTTGTCACCTTTTCCCTTGCTTTCATTTCAATCTCTTTCTATCTTTTTCTTGTGTTTTCCCACTGTTTTGAGTCTATTTCAAGTGTTTAAACTTGGGTTTGGATAGCTACCAAAGGTGGTGAGGGTTGACACCCTTACTTGCACCTTACCTCATGGCTCACACCCTTGTTTTTGCACTCTTTTCTTTGCTTTTAAAATTGATTTTCAGAGTTCAAAAGAGGCTAAAAAACTTTCTTTGAGTTTCAAAAGTAGAGGGGTTAGCCACTCATCTTCTAATCATATTTTCCTTACTTTTTTTGTTTAACTTTTTAAGATTATTTTTTTCTAATTTTAGCCACTGTTTTGAGGCTATTTTTTTGACTGCTTTTGGACTATTTTCAGAGGATAAAATATGT